TGGTTCCCCTCGACCTCTCCAGCCTCGATGGGCAGGGTGTCGTGGGGCTGGAGGCTGTGCCTCTGAGTCCGGGGGAGCGGGACCAGTGCCCGAGGACAGCTGTGTGTCCCCGAGGGCCCGGGCCGGAGGGGGAGACCGTGCAATTAGAGAGGGCTTCACACAGAAAGTTAATTAGCTGCTGAGGAGCATTTAGCCCCCGTGGCGGGCAGGCGAGGCCCGTGTGGGAGCGGACGGGGTCAATGTGCAGCAGCTGCTGACGTGGGGGGGGCAGGCGAGGGGGCCCATCCCGCGGCCGTGCACCCCCTCCCGTCTGACTCAGTGCGGCTGCCTCGGGGCCTGGGGTGGGCGTTCCCTGGTGGCGTGAGGGGAAGGACCGGAGCACGGCCCACAAGAGGGACTGGCCCACGTCCCCAGGAGCTGTCCCCTCTGAGAGTGGGGGCCGGCCCCTCTGGGACCGGCGCATGAAGCCCCCCGAGCGGTCTGACTGGACTTGGAGTAGCCACCCCACCTCCCACGCACTCTCCGTGTCCCCGTCTTAAAAATCAGTCAGGCCTGTCTTCCTACATGTCTGCATTGGGTTGAACAGTGCCCCCCCAAAATCACGCCCCCCCAGAACCTCAGAGCGGGACCCCACGGGGAAGGGTCTCTGCAGGGGCGACTGAGGGTGAGGACAAGGCCACCCTGGATGGGGGCGGGCCCCCAATCCAGCGAGCGTCCTTACGAGGGACAGAAAGGGACCAATGGCATGGAGAAGGCCACCTGGCGAGGAGGCTGACCTCAGGGTGACAGAGTGACCTGTCCGCAAGCCCAGGGACACCGAGGGCGCCGGCGGCCACCTGACGCCGGAGGAGGCAGGAACGGCTCTCCCTGGGACCTCCGGGGCTGCGGACACCTTGGTTTTGGACCCCCGGCCTCCAGAACCGGGACCGAATAAATTCTGTGCTTTTAAGCCCCTGGTGCGTGGTGACTTGCCCCAGCGGCCTCGGGCCACAGGGGCGGGCGGCCCAGCGTGGGTCGTGGGGGGGAGCAGGAGGAAGCCAGGGGGCGGGGCCCGGGAAGGTGAGGGGGGCAGAGGGAGGGACTCGATGGTTCCCTGCCGGCCGAGGACGGACGCGGGCGTGGCCGCCGGGCCTCCTGGTTTCGTTTCCCGTTCGAAACCGGTTTGCTCGGGCAACGTGGTGCTGACCGAGGGCAGGGTTCTGCTTCGCCTGGTTCTTGTTTGTTCGTTTCTACCCTTGATGTTTTTCAGGATGGGGGTTGTTTTCCTTGTTAATGACTAAAGCAACAGCTCCCCACCACAGACATCTTGGAAAGTAGGGAAAAGACGAGAGGCGAAAGGGGGTGACCCGCTCCCCGGGCCCGACCCCCAGCCGGCCATCGCGAACACCGGTGCTGTTCCCTCCCGCCCCGGCCGGGTGTGCTCTTGTTCCGACGTCTTCCTTCTGCGTCCGACGCCTCGGCTCTGCGACCGAGTTGTGGACATGCTGTTTGGTGTCCTGATTTTCTTTTTTTTTTTTAAAGATTTTATTTATTTATTTTTAGAGAGGGAAGGGAGGGAGAAAGAGAGAGAAACATCCATGTGCGGTTGCTGGGGGCTGTGGCCTGCAACCCAGGCATGTGCCCTGACTGGGAATCGAACCTGCGACACTTTGGCTTGCAGCCCACGCTCAAGTCCACTGAGCTACGCCAGCCGGGGCCAGGTGTCCTGATTTTCTTAAAAACACAATTCCAGATTCTGCTCCCTTTGATGTATGTGGAGATGCATGTCAGACATGGAAGCCACGCAGCAGGGCAGCAACACCAGGCCCAATGCGTGGCTCAGCTCCGCGGACGGGGGCTGACCGGGCCACAGCCCCCTCCCCCCACACACACAGCCCCCCAAACCCCCTCACTCCAACTTGGCCCCGGGATCCGGTCTCCGGAAGACACCGCTCTGCGGAATGCCGAGCACGTCACGTCCTGACCCCGGGGGCAGGCTGCCCCCACAGGTGGCCCTTCCCAGCAGCATGCCCGACAGTTTCGTGTGGCCGTGAGCACCAGGGACACGTCACCGCCCTTCGCGACCCTCCGGGACGCAGCCGCGGGCGCCCACTTCTCTGGACGGCCACTCGGCGCCCCGTGTGGCCACAACTCTCCAGAAGGCCCGTGTCCCGTCGCTCGCCCTCGGGTTCCTTCTCGGGGTCCCTGTCCGGGAGCAGGGCCGCCGTGACGGTACCCCTCGGGGGGCGCACCAGGGCGAGTGGGGGCCGGCTGCTGGAGACGCGCCAGCTGTTTCCTACGGGCGCTGGGCCAGCTTCCCCTCCCGCCGCCACCGGAGCGCGTGGGTCCCGGCCTGCTGTCTCCCACCCGTGTGCGACCCCGAATGCCCCCCAAGCTGGTGTGTCTGCGGAATGGCCACCAGTGTCAGGGCTGGGGCGACGCAGATCTAATGCCAACAAACTCCAACAGACTCACGGGTGTGCGAGAAGGCACGAACACGGGTGTGCCGAAGTTTGATGCACAGGCGCGTGCCTGCACAGAGGTTCGTGCACACCCTTGGGGACCTGAGGTGGCCGTTAAAACGAGGGGTGGCCATCCGGACGTACGGACCAGACAGAAGCCTGGACGGGGTCCCTGGATGGACCCAGCCGTGACACAGCCGTGCGCGGGATTTCCACACTGATGGGGGGGGCCAGACAGTTGTGTAAACTCACGCGTGGCTGAGCATCTGGGTGTGCGATGGGGCGCGTCCCAACTGAAGCGAGCTGGTGGGGAGGGCAGAGACCCGGCTGTTCCCGCCGCCTGGGCCGGGAGGGGGCGCCTGGTCCGCACCCCACCCCGCAATCCCCGTTTGGAAATAAGCCCGTTCGGACACACCGGCGGGAGACCCACGCTCATTTGCATTTCCCCGCCCCCCGCCAACTGCGTGGCTGTGCTGATTGGCTCCGCTTCTTCTGGGGAGTCTGCGGCCTCAGCCCATTAAACTCCTGGGGTCTCTGATTTCTTAGAGGGGCGAATGAAGGAGAGAAAGGGTGTTAGTCCCCCTTGGAGGGTCTCCAAAGCCCTCTCCAGTGCCCCACCCCCGTCGGAGCCGAGTTCGTGGACACCGGGAGGCAGAGGATGCACCCCCGCCCCCCGGGATCTGCCGCTCATGGCGCTCTGGCGCCTCCGTCCCTTCGACCGGCCCCGAGGTCGGACACTCGCGTGGCGGCCGGGGGGTCCGGGAGCTCCAGGTGGGACGCCGAGCCCGGCTGGTGGGCAGGAGAGCTTTCTGAGCCCGTCCTCGCCGGGCTGGTGACCAGCCATCTGGCTACGGGGACGTCCCCACGAAGCCCAGGGTGTGGGTCCCGCGTCACCCACGGCTCCCCTCCCAGCCTGCAGGGACCGGGGGTGACGGGCAAGCACAGGTTCGGGCAGTCCAGGGAGGGCGCTCTGAATGTCCCGGCTGGCACGGTCGGAGTGGCCGTTCGGGGCCCGCCTGTCTGCCGCAGGGGCTCCCGAAGCGGTTCCCCGATGGGCGGGACTGGCTGAGCCTGGGGCCACGGCCCAGAGCGCCGCCACGCCCACAGCTCGGGACCCGGAAGGTCCCGGCTTGCAGCCACGCCCCCTCCCTCCGCTGCGCTGCTCAGCGCCCCCGTGTCCTTGTTAGGACGATGCACCAAGTGGCACTTTATCTCTAAGGTGCTTCTGCCACCACCGGCTGCTCCTCTGGACAGGCCTCTGGTCACCCGGCCCCCTGCCGGCCCCCGAGAGCCTGTCCCCGTTTCCTCGTCCCTCCGGGGAGGGGCGCTCCAGCCAGTCCGGCGGAGTTTGCGCGGGCCCCTTGGGTGGTCAGAGCCCTCGCTGCGAAGCGGAGAGAGAAACCGCACTTGGGCACAGCGAGCCTGAAAAGGAGTTGATGGAATTTAATCAGATGCCTGAGGGGGACACCTAAATTTAGTCAAATTATTATTAGCATTCATCCCATTTTTGAACTGCCTAGGGGGAACGTCACCGGGAACACTGGGAAGCCACCAGCCTGGGTGGTGACAACTCTGTTTCTGCAGAGCTGAGGGACGTGTCATGTCAGGGACCCGGGGGTCCCGACAACCACGCACCTGCCACCAGTGGTGGCCACTCGGGAGCCGGAGGGGGCCAGGAGGGGCTGGCAGCCACGGCGGGGTCAGGCAGATCCAAGGGTGTCCTGTGTTTGGCAGTAAGAAACTCGCAGGGAACCACAGTGGACCTGGGCCTCGTCCACCCATCCGCAGCGGTCCCCGCCGGTCCCCACCAGTCCGTGCTGGTCCCCACAAATCCAGCTCCTAGTTGCTTAGTTCCCTCCCTTGGCCTCGCTCTCTGCTGGCGCTGTAGACAGGGCGGGCTTTTCGGTGGCTGTGAAGGTCCCAAAAAGGCGTGTGGAGGAGGACAGAGGCCCTCCCCGCTCCCGGTAACCCCCCCCCATGGGACAGGGGCCCATCAGACTGTGGGGCAGCTGGTCAGCGCTGGTGGTCCACGCCAGGTGTTTCTGCAGAAAAACCACGCGGGGCAACATGGCGCCTCTTCAGTGGGCGGGCGACCCGGCCCCCGCGAGGCCGCGCTGCCTCCCGCCAAACAGCCCCGGGGGGGGCGGTGCGTTGTGTCCGCCCCCAGGGAGCCCACCGGCCGCTCTCACCCAGGCGTCCCCTCTCCGCCCTGCCCGCCCAACCGCCTCTTCCTCCTCCAGGGCTGAGGTTGCTGCTTCCCCATCCGGAGGCTCACCTGACCGGCTGGAGAGCACTCACCGGGTTGGGGCTGACCCTGGGGAGCCCCGCGTTGGTAACCTCAGCCGGGCGTTGCGGGCAGGTGTGAACCCACCACGCGCCCGCCTGCCGGCTCCAGCTTCCTCTGCCAGGCCAGGGAGCTGCCAGGGCAGCTCATGGGGGAGCCGGCCTCTGTCCCGGGCCCGCTCTGGCCCAAACGGGGGCTGCTCCTCATTCTTTTTCTTGGTCCCATGACACCTCCCAGGTCCACCCGAGAACGGGCCGGGCACGCACAGGTAGGGAGAGCGCCTCGCTGTAGAAACACCCCTTCGTATCTCCGTGGAATTCCTGTGGCATCTGGGGGAAGGAGCAGGTCGGCTCTGGCTCCCCCAGGGTCCGGACGGCTCTCTTAGCGGGGGTCTTCTCGGCGGCGGGGCGGTCGGAGGCCGCGGTCGGCCGGGAGTGGAGCGGAGCGGAGGGCTCTCCGTGGCCCAGACCCACAGCAGCTAGGCGTGGTCTCTAGGCTGCCGGTGCTATTAATTATTTTGCTTTATTTATTAGACGTGCGCGGCATCCCTCAGCCTCCAAGCATATTTGCACACGCCTTCAGGGAAAAAGAGAAACAAATGATCCCTGCCGTCAGAGTCTCCAGCCCGTAATGAATGGCGCCGGTGATCTTGTTAAGCGGGGAGAGCCGCGGCCTCCGGGGGCAGCCAGAACCTACCTGCTCAGCAGCTAGAGACGCGTGTGCCGTGGGCACGCGGAGACCCGTGAACGCAGTCCAGCTGCTTAAGGAAAACCGCTCTTCCTTCTACTCAGAAATCCGACAATGTCGTTCTCTTTGATGCAGGAAAAAAAGTGAAAATAAAAACAGCGCCTAGAGGACGCAGGGCCCTCTCCTCCCGCAGGCGGGGCGTTCTCGCCCACCCCGCACCCTCCCCGCGCGGCAGAGAAGCCGGAGCTGGCCTGGTTATCTTTTCCTAAATTGTGTGGGTAATAAACCTGAATAATGTGCCTGCTCTCTTCCTCCCGTGATTTACACCTTCCATAATTAGCGCTGTGCGAGCTCCCGCGGCGTCAGGGACGTGTGGCCGAGCCGATCGCCGGGTGGGGCCCTGTCCCCCCCCCACCCCCGCTCGGCACAGCGCCTGGCTGCAGGCGCGGAGAGCTGTGATTTATGTCCTGCTCCGCGCGTCCGCCCGCCTGCACCCGCGGCTGATGACACCTCCGAGCTCCGCAGCCGCAGGTTTTAGGGGCTGGGATGACGGAGTCTTGGGGGCCTCTGCCCTGACCACTCCATTCGAGGTCTCGGAAAGCGTGTAACACGCACACTGTTGGTGAAAGGGGCACCACGGCCCAGGTTTAGCGCCCTGGCCGGGCTCACTGACTGCGTGCGCCCCTGGTGCTCGGAGAGCCAGCCCGCCCGGACCTCCGCCCCACGGTCCTCGGGAAGCAGGCCGCGTCCAGCCCAGCGGGAGGGTTGGTCCAGCTCTGCGTGCGTGCGCGCACCCGTGCGCCGTTCATTCCGGCAGCCGCGCCTGCAGTTGCACTTGGACGGGTCAGCTTAGTAGCGTTTCAGAAACGGCTGGGGTTTGAGCGCCGGAGGAGGTCCCGGAAGTGGAGCCCATCACCTCCCTCGCACAGACAGAAGTTAAGGGTAGAAGTGAGATGCTCCCCTCACCCACCCGCGTCCCTGCGGGGCGAGAGGCCAGAGACGGCCGTGGCACCCTCCCTCCCCGGGGAGGGCGTGCCCATCAGCTGGCAGCACAGATGCTGGGGAAGGGCTCAGGGTGGGGGTGAGGTGTGGGGGGGCCTGGGAAGGGGGGCGCTCCCTGTCGGCGGGAGTCAGAGACCCAGAAGTGGAGGCCACAGCCCCACCCCATCCTCCTCTCCTGCTTAACAAGGCCCGGAGAGGTCCCCCGGGTCAGGGTGCAGGGAACATGGGCTGGGACAGGGTCTCCCTGAAGTCCCATGTCCTCCGATCCCTCGCTCACCGAGGGCTCGGCGGGGCCCAGAGGTAAGAGCAGAGGGGGCAGGGGAGGTGACGGAGGGACACGCCAGAGCCGAGGGCCGAGGCGTGGCTGGGGTCGGGAGCAGCAGGCGCTCTGGAGCCTGACGTGCCAGGGGTGACGGGGGTGACGGGCGCGTTGGAAGGCCCAGGACGTCCCTCCAGGGACTGACTGTCCAGTAGCCAAGGGCGATGGCCGGGTTGAGCGGGTCGGTCCTGCTCATGTCCCCTCCCCTCGGCACCCCCTTGCACGGATGCAGACTGAGGCGCAGCCCAGGTGGGGAACCCCCGAAGCCACACCAGCCGGGGACGGGGCCCAGCCGCCTGTGCCCCGCGCTGAGGGTGCAGACACCCCCCCATCCGTGCCCGATGGGTCATTTGTGCTTCAGGTACTGAAACACCCAAGGGCGTGTCACCCTTGTCTGTCTTCCCGTGGCCTTCTCTCTTCCTGTATCTGTAGGATGTATCGAAATGCATCGTAGTATTTGTAACATATCCGTGCGCTGCGGAGGGTGGGTGGGTCCCGCTTGCATTTCTCTCACACCCGGTGAGGTCATGTCTGTTCGCCACCTGGTTTGGTGAAGCCTCTTTTCAAATCTGCCGCCGGTTTTTAGATCGCGTTCTTGGTTTCCTTGCTGCTGAGATCGGAATGTCCTTCCTCTGTCCCGGACGCAGACTCCCCACCAGAGGCGCTTTGCGAACATCTTTTCCCGGTCCGTGCGTGGCTCGTCTTCCTGTTTCCTTACCGGCGTCTTTCGGAGGACAGGAGTTTCTCATTTCCCCCAAGGCCAGATCACCCAGCCGATCGGTTTTCTCCTTTCCCGGATCACGCTTTTGGCGTTGCGCCTAAGAAAGCTCAGTCTAACAGCGCCGTTGGAGGGGAGGGGCTCCCGCGCGTTCCGCGGACACGCGTCCGCTACCGGGCGCGCGCGCGCACGTGGGGAGGGTCGGCGTCTCCCGGCCGTGCTCCCCCACCTTCGTTTCCTCGCCGTTCAGTTTCCAAGACGAGCGTTTTCCTCTCCCTACTTAGTTCATTCATCACTTCTTTCAGGGTCTGCGCTTTCAGTGTTGTAGGGAACCTGGGCCTCTTCTAAGGTCAAAAAGTTTTTTTTGCTCACGAGTTCTTTCAGAATTTGTATCCCATCGAGGTCTGCGATCCAGGTCATTTCTGTGTAGAACGTGGGGGGGAGGGCTGCTGTCCCCCACGCAGACACCCGGTCCCTCGAACACCGTCACGGGAAACCGTCCTTTCTCCGCTGTGTCTTTGTCCATAACCAGCTGTTCGTATTAGTCTATTTCTGGGCTCTCTGTTCAGTTCCATTGACTTGAAAGTCTTACCTTTTTTACCAACACCAAGCAGCCGTGTTACTGGAGGTTTATAATGTCTCGAAATCAAGTACACATCCTCCAACTTTCCTCCTTTTTAAAAAGATTTGCTTTGCTTACTCCGGGAAATTTTCATCCGCATATGAATTTTGGAGTGCGCTGGTCAGTCTTGACTCCCCGCCCCCAGGCCTGCCGGCATTCTGAGGGGACACTGTGTCGAATACACAGGTACTCTGGGCGAGACCACCCCGCTCCCGGCGTCGGCCGCCGGGCTCCGGGGACGCGGTGCCGGCTCCGTCCGCTTGGGCCCCCTTTCATTGGTCTCCACCAGGAACTGTGCTTCTCTATAGAAGGGTCTTGAGTGTCACATGTCACACTTATTTCTAAGGATTTCATGTGGGTTTTTTTTTTTTTTTGCTGCCATAATGAAATTTAAAAATTTTATCACTTTTCCCGCCTGTGTGCTGTGAGTCCTTTAAAGTAACCACTGAGGTTTGCACATCACCCTGTGGTCCTGCAGTCTGGCTGCATGCATGTTTTTGCTCCAGGGGTCGTCTTGTGAGCTCCCTGGGGTTTCTCCCGTGCACAGTGACATCGTGCTGTTTACAGAGGGACGGGTTCACCTCTTCTCCCCCCACCAGCACGCATCTCATTTCCTGTTCTTGCCTTCCGGGGCTCATCGCGGGCCGCCACGGGGAGGGCGGCCGTCCTAGCCTCCTCCCGACGCAGAGGGAAGCTGCTCAGTGCCCCCCCCCCACGGAGCACGTGGGAACTGGAGCGTGTTCGTGGGCGCCCTTTATAGGTCGAGGGGTTCCCTTCTTTCTCGCCTGCTGACCATTGTTATTGTGGATGAGTGTCAGGTGCTTTGTCTGCAGCAAATCCTGTGTATTTTTCATGGACAACTTTGGTTATTTTCCTGGGATTGATACCTAGACATGAAAGTAAAGGGTCAAAATGTATAAGAAGCATTTTAAGCCTTTTTTTAAAAAAGATTTTATTTATTTACTTTTAGAGAGGGAAGGGAGGGAGAAAGAGAGAGAGAGAAACATCAATGTGAGGTTGCTGGGGGTCGTGGCCTACAACCCAGGCATGTGCCCTGACTGGGAATCGAACCTGCGACACTTTGGTTCGAGATTTTTGTGATGTTTAAAGTCACCGCCAGCGTCACGGGCCTCTCCCAAAGTGGTACGTGGTTTCCGCTCCGTCTGTCGCCCTTTTCTGGACGCGGAGGCCTCCCGGGTTGTTGGGGTCTCGTCTGCAGGGGTGGGCTCTTCCTGTCCTTGTCCCTTTCTCTGTCGGGCACCCGTCTTCCTCTCTTCGAGCCGCATATACTTTTTTCACACTGAAGACATCAATCCTTGCCGTCTCTGTGTTCTTTCACTTTTGTTTTCTTTGAACAGACTTGGCTCTTTTGGAGCAGTTTCGGGTTCACAGCAAAACCGAGCCGAGGGCGCAGACTTCCCACGCCCCCCCCCGCCCCCACACCTGCACAGCCTCCCCCCACCCCCCACCCCCCAGGTGGTGCGTCCGCGGCAGTGAACACACCTTCATCCGCACGGCACTGTCGCCCGGAGCTCCCGGTCGGCACCGGGCTCAGGCCGGTGCTGTGCGTGCTGTGGGTGCGGACAAATGCGGGGGGACGTGGCCCCACCACCGCAGGGGCACACAGGGGGGTCTCCAGGCCCTACGCACCCTCTGCGCTGCACCTGCTCCCCCTCCCAGCCCCCACGCACCTGAGGGCACCGGTCTTTCCTGACCCCACAGCTTCGCCTTTCCCAGAGCGTCAGGCGGAGTGTGCACCCTCCCCAGACCGGCTTCCTTCACCTGGGCGTGCGCGTTTAAAGTTCCTCCCGAGTCTTTTCGGGGCTTGGCGGCTCAGCTCCTTCCGGCGCTGAGCGAGGATAGTCTGTCGTCCGGGTGTGCCGTGGCTGGCCTCGCCGCTCGCCTGCAGACGGGCATCTTGGCTGCTTCCAAGTCCTGGCAGTTATGAGGGGCCACCAAAGGGTGACATTGTTTCCATCCCCTCTCCCCAACCCCCACCCACCATGCCTCGGGCACCCAGCACCACCCTCCAACACCGGCACACCCTTCCCAGCACACTGTGTGTGCTCACGGGCCCCCGTGGGCAGGCCAGGGGTTCCAGAAACCGGATCCAGGACGGAGACTCACTCGGACAGACTTGTGATTGGAAGACCCCTGTTCCGAGGCTGTGGCCGGGAGGACTGGTCCCTGGTCCCTGGTCCCTGGCAGGAAAGGAGCTCAGGACAGACAGAGAGAGGGAGAGACAGAGAGACAGCAGGAAGTCTGCTTGAGCCCCAGTCCAGCTCCTCAGGGGGAAGTCATTTGCATGAGCGAATCCATTGCTAATTTAATTGAGGCCGCGGTCTGGGGTTTGCCACCGGAGTTCTGTCCGCTTGTTGTTCAGCTGACTCAAAAGTCTCAGGACGAAGAAAAATGAATTGATATGTTGAGTTATTTGAAAATGTTAAAATCTGGCCCCAAAGTCTCTCTGACCTTGAGAACCACAACTCGGTCATTTTGGAGGTGTCTTCCCCCTCTTCCAGCTTTCCCTGAAAGCAGACACTGCCTGCGTGTATCAGCATCTATTGCTGCGTAACAAGCAACTTCAAATGTTGCAGCTTAAAGCAACTTTTATTTGCCGGCGGATCTGCTGGTTGGGCTCGGCTAAGTCAGGCTGTTCTGCCGGATGCTTGCTCAGGCTCCTGGAGCGGCCGGGGGCCGGGGGGCAGGGGGGCGGAGGGTCTGAGACGGCCTCTGTCCAGGCTGCAGGGGCTCCGGTGCCGACTGGCCGCTGAGTCTCTCTCTCCCGGCGTCTCTGGATGCCGGCTTCTCGAGGCCACCCTGGGGCTCACAGAATGTCCCTCACACCACAGCCACCGCCCGGCCCGCCTGGATTCGCCAGCGCGCAGGCGGACCGCACGCTGGACCTGGTTGAGTTGCAAGGACTCTGCTGCTGGCTCTGGTCCCCGAGGCTGGGCCGGGCTCCGGTTCCGAGGGAGGGAGAACTCGCCTGCTCCGTCTCCCGTACCAGTGCCGGCTTGCCCTTCTGTTTCCGTTGTTGCGTTTCGGTGATCCTCAGAAGAGGACAAAAACCGGGAAACACGACGTGTTTTTAAGTTTTGCATCTTCTAGCTTTAACTACAAAGCATTTTTCTTGCAGCACGTCCGGAGTTATTACCTTACATAAACCATCCTTTTAACTTCCATGCGCCACACATAATAATTTCATGAACACACCAAATTGCATGCAGCACATGTGACTATTTCTAACACCAAATCGCTCCACATGTGGAAAAAGATAAAAAACAATTGAAACTGCATATATTTCCATTTTCCTGAAGTTTTATTTTCTTGTGTTTTTTTTCCTCTAACTCCAAGATCCTCAGAAGTTTACGTTTTCATCCCGGGCGTGGGTCTCGAACACCTGCCTGTGCCAGGAGCCCGGGGGTGCGGGTGCCACCAAGATACGGCCCTGACCCCGAGGCAGCCGGTCCGGAGGGGCACACGGGTCATCCTCCTAGATGGCCCAGCTGGCCGAGCAGCCGCCCGCCATGACGGGTCCTGGGAGCAGACAACGGAGGCGCCGTCAGCCTCCCGCCGGGGAGAACCTGCGGAAACCGGGCCGCGGGTCCCCAACACGGTGTCCTGAATGAATTCATCAGTCAATTAATTCATGCAAATACTTTCCCCCTAAGGAGCTGGAAAGGGCTTAAGCAGCCTTCTGCCTGGAGGCAAGTTGCTGCAGGGAGGCGTGTGGGGGGCCGTCTCTCCGTCTCTCCCTCTCTCTGTCTCTCCTGGGCTCCTTTCCTGCCAGGGACCAGGGACCAGGGACCAGGGACCAGGGACCAGTCCCCCCCGGCCACGGCCGCAGACCAGAGGTTTTCGCCCAGGCCTGTCCGAGGGAGTCTCCGTCCCAGATCCGGTTTCTGGAACCCTTGGCCTGCCCCCCGGGGGCGAACGGACACAGCGCGCTGGGAAGGGCATGCCGGCCTTGCAGGGTGGTGCTGGGTGCTCGCGGCGTGGTGGGGAGCGGGGGCTGGGGGGAGAGGCTGGAAATAATGCCACCCTTTGAGGGCCCCTCTCCAGCTGGGTTTGGAGGCGAGCCCAGCACGGGCCGGCCGGCGGGAAACAGGCTGAGCACGGGCTCCCCGGCCGCCACCGAGGCCTGGCCGTGCAGCGAGCAGATCATGGAACTCCGTGTGACGCGGCCGGGCGGGGGGGCCGTCCTCAGACCTGCAGCTTGCCTCGTTTTGCACTGTGATCCCCTAGAGAAGCCCGGGCAGGGTCCCCGCGGGAAGGCGGCGAGTCCCTCCCTCAGCCTTTTGGGGGCGAGTTCGCCCTGCAGCCGCTGTGGTCCAGCTGATCTGCCGACCTTCCCGCCCGACTCCCTGTCCCCACCTCCCAGTCTCTTTCCTCGGACAGCCCTGGCGCCCTCGGGGTGCGGCTGGGCCCACGCCTCGAGGCAGGGCGGGAAGAAAAGCCGCCCGGGCACTGGGCCTGGTGTTGTTCCAGAAGCTGCTGCTGGGACCCTAGATAGGCGGCCTCTGCCGGCCGGGACGGCCCCGAGTTTCGAGGGACGGCGCTGAGGCGACCCGGGCGTAGCTTCATGCAGAGACGTGGTGCCCGCCTGGGGCGGAGGGGCCTGGGGTCCATCCCCTCCGGCACTGCCGCTCTGGGCGGAGACAGGACAGCAAGGCACGGGGACAGCAGCCCTGTCTCCTCAGACGCTGGGCTGCCGTCCCCGGTGGGAGATCACCTTCACTCCGACCGGGGTTCACGAAATCCCCAGAGACCACACTCAGCCTGTGGTGTGGCCAAACCAGCGTAATAAAGCACGCTACATCCGGGGCTCTGAACGGATCCGTGCATCTTCTGATTAATGCAGAATAAATGGGGTTGTGTTGCTGAACTTCAGAATTAGGAGCCACAAGATAATGCTGGTGAGGGCATGGGCCACAGAGCTGGGGTTCAAATCCCAGCTCTACCACCTGCTGGCTGTGTGACCTTGGGGAAGTTCCTCAGCCTCTCTGGGCCTTGGTTCCTGTTTTGTGCAGTCGGGGTGGGGGGTAACACTATTCATTTCCTACGGTTATTGTGAGGACAACCCCAGCACATGAGAGTGGTTGACTCAGGGCCAGGCCCATACTGTGTGTTTAATACATGTTCACTATTAGCATGAATAATATTAATAACCCAGACATTTCTTAACTGAACCAGTGCTTTTTCAGGGATACAGGGAGCCAGCTGGCACCCTCACAGAAGCCCCGTGCTGTCTGGGACGGGCAGGAAAAGGCCCCAAGGGCAGGGGGCCACACTGGCCACTCCACAGCCCTGTAGTCTACACAAAATCCAGTTATTATCCTCACTTTGCAAAGGGGGAAACAAAGGTTCAGAGAGGCTTGGTAACTTGCCTAAGGTCACACAGCAAAGACTGGTCAGTATGAGCTTATTGTCATAAGGCAGAACGGGATTGGACCACACGCCGCTGGGTGTGATTTGTACGCGTTCATTCGCGAGTGTCTGGCCGTGTCTGTGAGCGCCTGAGCCTGGCGGGTGTGTTTAAACGGCCCCCTCACGCCCTCCCTGTCCCTCCCCCTGGGCCGCGAGGCCAGAGAGACAGGTGGCCATCCCACAACCTGCTCCCCCAGCTCCCCCTCCAGCGTGGACGCCCACCTGCAGTTCCCGGACCGCAGCGGCCTCCTGCAGGCGCCGCGCTGGGACGAGCCGCAGCGGGCGCGCGCCCTGGAGCAGATCTGCGGCGTGTTCCGCGTGGACCTGGGGCACATGCGCTCCCTGCGCCTTTTCTTCAGGTGAGAGCCAGCGGTCCGCGGCAGGCGGGCCTGGGGGCGGTGGCCCTGGGGGCGGTGCTGGCATCATGATGTCATCAGCCGCGGGACCCACGGCGGCAGCCACACAGGAAGTGGGTCGGGGTGGCTCCCAAACTCGTCCATCCGCCGTCAGGGTGGTGATGGCCAGCTTTTGTTTGGGACCCTGGCGCGAGGGGTGGGGGGACCAGCCCACGTGGTGGTAGCTTCAGGCTGCCCCCACCTCCCACCCAGCTGCTCTGGGCTTTCTGGAGGGAGGCGCCCTTTCTTCTGTGATGTCCCTGTGACTGTCCCGCCCAGGAGCCACCTCAGATCCCTCCTGAGAGGTAGGGCGGCCCGGCCACAAGATGGCACCAAGCACAGACCTTCAGCAGAAGCGGGAGTGTCACCCCAGAGGGTTCGCAGACCCAGAGCCACACTCGGGCCTCTCAGGGCAGGGCTGCCAAGGTCAGCCGGTGGCCCTGGCTGGCGGTGATTTCCCAGGAGGTCCCCCAGGGGGCCACCCAGGCCTGCTGGAGGGAGCCCGGGAGGAGGTTGGCTGCCTGCCTGCCGCCCACCTGGATTCAACATCTGATTGCGCGGACAGAATCCGCCCTGCCCCACCCCCCACTCCCGAGAAGGGGCCGCACAGGAGACCTCTCGGGCTGGCCCCCTGGGGAGCTAACGAGGCCAGCCCTGCGTCCCTGCCTCCCCAGCAGGGAGCGAGCTGTTTTGCCTTCGTCAGCAAAGGGGTGCTGGCCTCTGCGGGCCCGAACTCGGTCCCCCTCTCGGGCCAGCAGCCAAACGCCACAGGGACTTCCTGTTTCCTGCCTCCGAGGAGGTCGGTGATAGTGGCCTCTGATTAGACTTGGAAATAAAAGCCCGTGTTTACACTTCCATCCCTCCTCCTCCTCCCCCCGCCCCCCCCCACCCCGCGATGGCCGCTCAGCGACGAGGCCTGCACCAGCGGCCAGCTGGTGGTCGCCAGCCGGGAGAGTCAGTACAAGGTGCTCCACTTCCACCGCGGCGGCCTGGACAAGCTGGCGGACGTGTTCCAGCAGTGGAAGTACTGCGCCGAGACCCGCCTCCGGGACCAGGTAGCCGCCGAGGCCCCGCCCACCTCCGGCAGGGTCCCCGCTCCCTGCTCCGTCCCGAGGCCTGGCGGTGGGCTGCGACCCCCCGAGGGTGCCGGGAGCCGATCGGGCAGCCACTCCGGGTAGGAAACAAGTGCCCAGGGCTGCCGGTAATGCCAGCGCCTTGCGCTCGCAAAGTCCTGTTTTGACAAGGCTTCCCGCCATATTTTGCTCAGGCTCCGTACGAATGTAATAAGCGCTCTTTAATTATTTGTTTAAGATGCTGTATGTGCTTATTAGAAATGGGGCCGGCTGGAAACCCCCCCTCCTTCCCACCGAGCCTCCTGCTGGCTTCCCTTATTACAGTAGCCTGGCTTTTCCCCACACCGAACAACCTTTGATTTCTGAATTAAATGTCAGCTGCAGTTTTGCCCTGGATTCGTGACTGCCCGTGGAGACAGCCTGACAGGCGGGCTCCCCGCCCGCCGAACAGCGACCCCTTTGTACGCGGCCAATCACATGTAATTTATTGCAGGCCCTTCCGGCAGAGACAGAGGGAAGTTGGGCCCAACGAGGCATTAATTCCATTTTGCGGCTGGGGGTCGAGGGAGAGTGGGGGGCGGGGGCAGGCGGTGGGTGGGAGCCAGCCAGCCAGGGAGCCAGGCGGGGGCCGGGGAAGCAACGTGTGGACGATGAAGGTATTTTCATTTTAATTGCGTGTGATGACGGCTGCCACCCAGGGGTTTGCGTGCAGGGGAGAGGCCCCTCTCTCCCTTCAGGAGAGTGGGAGCGGCTTTCCCAGCGCCCCCCTACCCCAAGAGCATCGCGGGCCTGGACCCCCGGGGCTGCGCACTCATCTCTCCCCTGTCCCCCTGTCCAGCAGGTCGCCGACGAGAAGACGTGCATGAAGTTCTCCATCCGACGCCCCAAACTGCCCTCCTCCGAGACGCACCCCGAGGAGAGCATGTACCGCAGGCTGGACGTCTCCGCCTGGCTGCGCCACCTGAACGAGCTGGGCCAGGTGGAGGAAGAGTACAAGCTGCGCAAGGTGAGGCCGCCCGCAGGGTGGAGCCGGGCCCGGGGGCGGGGCCACCTCGGTGGGGCGGGGCCACCTGGGCGGGGCGGGGCTGGTCCCCTCCCTTGCGGAGCTACACGCCCGAGGTAGCAATCCCAGCCTCCTCCGCCTTCGCGGGGTGCGGGCGTCCCGCCTCCGCCCGTCTGGAAGAGCGCGCGGTGAAATGCAGCCCGTCCAAACCCGCGGATTAGGCCGTGACGTGGGAACCACACGTTCCCCGAGCGCCACCCCGGGGGGGCATTGACATTGAAATGAGCCTGGCGGCGTCCTGTATGGGAATGGAGGGCCCGCTCTTTCCCCTTCCAAACAAGTGCAAATTGCGGCCGCCGAATCAAGGCATCAGTTGTCAGAAGGCGCAGCCCAGCCACGGAAACACCGCCCTCCCGGGCTCTGGGGGCGCTCCGAGCCGCCCTCTGCCGGCCCCTCCCCAACCGTGGCCGCTTCCTCCAGGCCATTTTCTTCGGCGGCATTGATGTGTCCATCCGCGGGGAGGTCTGGCCCTTCCTGCTGCGGTATTACAGCCCCGAGTCCACGTCGGAGGAGCGAGAGGCGCTGCGGGCGCAGAAGCGGAGGGAGTACGCCGAGATCCAGCAGAAAAGGTAGCCGCCCGAGCGCGGGGGAGGGGCCCTCGGAAAGGCGACGGGAGGGGCAAGTCAGCGTCGATGGGTCCCACCGTCTCTTTCCAGAATGTTCTCCCCAGACTGTGATTGCCGTCATTAGCCCAGGCCCCCTTTGGCTCACATGTCACAGTTTTAGCATTCTTTTCAGCAGAATTGGCCAGGCACTGGGGGGACGGGGGGCGGCAGCTCAGGGGTCCTGCGGGAGCCAGGACCGCTGAGGTCCATCTGGGCCTGGTAGGTCCCTGGGCTGCGGTCAGCTCCCCTCCTGGGGCCGAGCTGGTGCTGGGCATCGCCTCGGGGACTCCCACCCACCCCCTGGAGTCAGCAGTGAGACCAAAGGGAGGGTCCCCAGTTCCCATCCAGGGTAGCAGTGGGGAGGGAGGGCGTGCACATGCCACTCGCTGACCCCGGTGGGCGCCGGCGGCGGGCGCAGGCTCTCCATGGCCCCGGAGGAGCACAAGGCCTTCTGGCGGAACGTGCAGTTCACCGTGGACAAGGACGTGGTGCGGACGGATCGCAGCAACCAGTTCTTCCGCGGCGAAGGCAATCCCAACGTGGAGCGCATGAGGTGCGCCCCCCGCCCCACCCCGTACCCCTCCGGCCTCGGGTGACCCTCTGGGAGAGGATGCGCAGTCTGCAGCTCCTGGGCCAGGCGGGGGTTCGCACAGTCACCCCAGAAGCAGAAAATCTTTAGGTACTTTAGACGGCTTCTCCCAACCCCCTGCGGCCATAGTGTCCCGGGGAAGCCCGCAGGTCTCTCCCAAGGGTGCCGGCAAAGCCACCACCCCCTGGGCGTCCACCCGGGCCTTGCTTGGGTCACAAGAACTAGGGCAGAGCCTGCCTGAGTGTCTCCCAGTGGGTGGTCCTCCGGGCGATAAAGCCACACCACTGGGGGCTGGCATCTCTGACATTCTGCTGCTGCCTGACAAATAATTGCACAAAATTAGCAGCCCATAAAAATGTGCCTGCCGACCCCCCCTTTGTCACAGGCAGCCAACCATTAAGGAAATCAGTCCCACGCTCTCCCTGCCTCCCCCCCACTCACTCAAGGTCGGTGAGTGGCTAATTGCAGGCCATTACCCTTCCTGAGGCTTGGAGACGGTGCCCCTGGGGTCGAGGCAAAGGACAGGGGTTCGGGCAGCCTGGGGTCTCCAGCCCGGGGTTCTGTGGGCCCCAGGCAACATGCCACTGTCAGGACAGCGAGGGTGGGTGTGTCGTGGTCACCCTCACGGACCACCTGCTCTCTGGGCTGCGCCGCCAGGAGGATCCTGTTGAACTACGCGGTGTACAACCCGGCCATCGGCTACTCCCAGGGCATGTCGGACCTGGTGGCGCCCATCCTGGCCGAGGTCCTGGACGAATCGGACACCTTCTGGTGCTTCGTGGGCCTGATGCAGAACACGATCTTCGTCAGCTCCCCTCGGGATGAGGACATGGAGAAGCAGCTGGTGAGGCTGCCTTTGGGGACGTGGGTGGGGTGGTCTTGGCGGCTGTGTGCGGCCTGGCTGCTGTGGGTCCGCAGGAAAGCCGGGGGCGGGTGCCATCGATGGGGTGCAGGGACTTAGCCCGGGGCCTCTGGGGAAGAGCCGTGTGCTGCTCCCCGGTCCCAGGGTGCCTGCTCTCACCCCCACCCCGCACTCCCAGCAGGCCCAGAGGCTGGGCGGCACCGGGCCCTCCCTGGTGGCTCTCGCCTCCTGCACGCGGCAGCCCAGCCCCGGGTCCCCAGGGCTCCTGAAGCCACCCGGAGGCCCACTGGACAGTGGTCACACACTCCCTCCCAAGGGCACCGGCCTTCCCTGCAGAGCCCGGGCAGTGCCCTTTGCTCCACGGCCTCCTGTGACCCGCACAGGCCAGGCAGCGCTGAATGCTGGGGGCGGGGGGCAGGCGAAGCCCGAGAAGGCACCTGAGGGTTCCAAGTCCCGGCCGCTGGCAGGCACTGGGGTACGGCCTCGGCTCCCCAGTTGTGGAGAGAGCGGACAGGGAAGGGAGGGTGCTGGGAGCCGGAGGGGGTTGGGTGGGGGATACGGATGGGGAGTAAGGCAGGTGGGCAGGTCGACTCCACTGCGCAGGGGTCAGGCCCCGGACGCGGCCGAGACTTGGCTGCCCAGTGTGTCCTGGGCAGGGGCCCTGCGTGCCAGGTCACATTGGGCCACGGGTGTCACGAGCAGTGGGACTCGGCGTCCTGGCAAGGAGCTCGTCCCGCCAAGGCCCGCTGGGGCCACTGAACTCTGCGGCTGGGAGAGGAGGACACAGCAGAGGGTCTGAGCCAGGGTGGCCAGGAGCAGGGGGGTGTGGACGGGATGGCGAGGGCACCTGGGTGGGGGCTCGGGGGCGCCTGTGTGAGGAGGGCTCCGCCACATTTTCGGGCCGGACCCTGCCGTGGGCCCCAAGTTGGAGAAAGTGCCCAGTGGGGATGGACCCGCAGGCCGGGTCCTGTCTCCAAGGAGAGGGAAGAGGGGCTGCCTGTGTGGGAGGGGCCAGTGAGTCACTGAGCCCCGCCCCCAAGCCCTGCTGCTGTGATCCCGAGAGCCCTTGACGCTGGCCCGGCGGGCTCCCCTCTCCGCTTCACGTGAGGTCAGGTTTCCGTGGTACCTGGGGAGCCAGTTACAGGTCTGACACCACTGGCCCCCAATGCACTCGGAAAGCACGTGGCCCTGTGACACGTTACCCGCTGGAGACTGGTTTTCCAGTGGCGCTGGCGAGGTCAGCGGCCCCAGCCAGACGCTGCTGCAGCCAGCCACAATCGCGTCCCACGTCACGGGGTGCGGACCTCAAGTGCAGGACTGGCGTGTGCTGGGGCTCTGCTCTGTGTCAGCCCCAGGGGATGAGGGGACTTCAAGGTCTGAGTGGAAGGCGGTTGGGCCCTGGGTTCCCAGGAAGGAGGGGGTGTCAGAATCAGCCCCCCCCCCAGGGTGGCTGCAGCCTGGGGGTCTTCCCAGCAGAGAGCTCTTGTCGGCCCACCGTCCACCTGGGCCATAGCACGGCCCCCCGGCACAGCGGTCTCCAATCCGGGGCAAACCGGTAAAGACGGGCGTGGGTTCGAAGTGAGCAGGTGTAGACACACCGCCCCGCGTGGCCCGGTGCTCAGCACTCACTTGGGCGGTGTTCCGGGGCGGGGCGGCCCGAGGAGGGCCCCGGGGGCAGCGGCCCCGGCCTCGGGGCTGACCGGATGGGTCTGCTTCACCGCAGCTGTACCTGCGGGAGCTGCTGCGGCTGATGCACCCGCGCTTCTACCAGCACCTGGCCTCGCTGGGCGAGGACGGCCTGCAGATGCTCTTCTGCCACCGCTGGCTGCTGCTCTGCTTCAAGCGCGAGTTCCCCGAGGCCGAGGCGCTGCGCGTCTGGGAGGCCTGCTGGGCCCACTACCAGGTGAGGGGGCGCCGCCGAGGGGAGGGGCGGCCAGGACCGGGCCCCGGAGTGGGCGTCGCCATGCCTCGCCCCGCCTTCCGAGGGAGGCCGGGGGCCAGCGTAACCGTGCACCTCCTCGGGGGGTCCCCGTCCGCTGAAAGCCCCAGGTGGGCCCCTCACACTGCTGCCGCCCCCCCTCCGCCCCGCCGCGCTGGCTGCAGACCTGCAGCTCGCCTCCCAAGGAGCTGACACTGAGGCGAGCCACCCGCTGGCCGCCCTCATTACTGCCTTCCGGCGCGCAGCTCGCCGCTGTCACATCCAATCAGCGTGAAGGACATTTCCGGGGGCCAGGCAGGCCCACCCCCGCAGCCCGGGAGGCTGGCGTCCGCGGGCCGGAGCAGGTGCCCGCCCACCTTCTGCCCTCGGGACGGCTGGGAGAGAACCCGCGGCAGCCCTGCTTCCCCGCCAGAGTGCCCAGGGCCCGCCGCCCCCCCACCCCCACGCAGTCAGGGCGATTTCCCCGGGACGCCCTCGGCGCTCAATGTCTCCCCGGCAAGTCCCCCGGGAGCCCAGTGCTGACCCTGTCACACGGCTTTAACGCCCAAACGAGCGACGAGCTGACGATGCTGGAGGAGAGGCGAGTCCCTTCCCATCCGTCAGCCTTTAACACGGAACGGGTTTGACGCCTGACGCATCGGGAGGGGGCTGCACCCTCTCTGCGCGCCCCGCCCCCACTGCGGCCGCCCTCGCAGCTTGGACTCCACCACCCGCAGGGACGGGTGGGGTGTCCGCCAGCTCCACCCGCAGGTTCAGGGGGATGTCCCCCCCCACCCCGTCAGGACGGGCACCGGCTGGGGCGGTCCAGACCCACCACGTGTTTCCCCTGATCACTCCTGGTCTGCACGGCCTCTCGGCCCGCAACACGGCCCCCCGCGGTGCATCACGTTTGGGCTGATGTTACCAGTAAACCCTGAGCTCCGCCCAAGAGGCGGGGCCGTTTCTCACTGAAACTTCCTCACTGTCGTCCGGTAAAAATTCCTGGGGGAGCCCCCCCAACCACCCACCCCCCCACCCCCCGGGACATCTCTCTTGGCTTGAGGTCCACAATTCAAGTTCACATCATTGTCCGACTTGAGACAAAATTTAGCCACATTGCCTCCTCTCTCGGATCCATTAGGGTAGTGGGGGCACGCTGCTGCTTCATCAGGGGCGAGCTCCAGGGACGGGGGGCGGGTGTCACCATGGGCAGTGTCTTTAACCATTTAGGCAGTGACCCCGGAGACAGAACAGCTCGGTGCTGAGCCTGTGCTGCTCGCCGGCCTCCGGGGCTAGACCACCCGGGGCCGTGCCCCAGGCCCGCAGCTAGTCCTGCCCTGGTGTCCAGCCGGATTGAGGGCGAGTGGCCCCCTTTCCGCCCCACCGACCGTCCTCTCTGAGAGGGGCCGGCACCCCCCTTCCTGGAACCCCCTGCCGTCTTCCCCCGCCCACCGGAGTTCACGCAGCCGCAGGAGGCGCGATCTGAGCCCACAGGAGACCGTGGCGGGCAGTTCCGGGGACGGGCCGGCCGCCGGGGGTGGGGGGAGCTCTCCAGGGCTCGTGGGGCGTCTGCGGCCGTGACGACAGCCCGCCCGCACCGCGGGCTCCACCTGGCCGAGTGTGGGTCCCTGGGCGGTCGGCACCGGGAGACTAAACACAGGCTTCCCGGAGCTCCTCGTCCTTCCTCTGCTCCCGGAAACGCGCTGGAATCAAAGTCCACACGCCCGCAGAGCGTCCGGGCCGTGGAGCAGGCAGGATGCACCGGGGTCAAGATCAAGTGCAGGCTTCCTGCAGTTGGCCGGCATTGCCACTCCTCAGAGTGGGGGGGGGACCAGCAGGGGGCTGCGGGCTCGCTCCATGAGGACCTTCTCCCCCTTTCTCAGCAGCGAGCCTGAGAGTCGTCGAGGGGGTGGGGGGATCAGCCCGGGGTTTCGGTGGGTGGCCGCCACAGGCCCCTTCTCGCTGGCTCGTTGCCCCGGCTCCTGGAGCGTGCGGTCACCCGGCCTCTGCACCCGCTGTGGCTGAAGACTGTCACCTACGTCCAAACGCGCACCCGCCCGCCTTCAGAGGAAGGGTGTTCTGTGCTCCCCAGACAGCGAGCACCCACAGGGCCGCCCAGGAGTGTCCCAGAAACCCGTGGGAGGCCAGGGCCAATGTCGTCCCCTCCTTGGGTGTCACGGCGGCCTGTGGGTGCTGACCGTCACGGGCCCTGGCGCTGGCCCTTGCAGGCCGGGGAACTGAGGACAGACTGGGGCGTGTGGCCCCGCCTGCACCCCCGCACTCGGCCCCCGCCTGCAGCCAGGGCCCCCCCCCCGCCCGGCCAGGTCAGGGGCCCGACCTGAACCCCCCCATCCCCGCCCCTCAGACGGACTACTTCCACCTCTTCATCTGCGTGGCCATCGTGGCCATCTACGGGGACGACGTCATCGAGCAGCAGCTGGCCACCGACCAGATGCTCCTGCACTTCGGAAACCTGGCCATGCACATGAACGGGGAGCTGGTGCTCCGCAAGGTCAGCGGCTGGCCCCGCCCCCGCCCCGACAGGCCCCGCCCCCAAGTTACAGAGCCCCGCCTCCCCGCAGGCCCCACCTAGACCGCAGGCCCCAGGTGCAGGGAGCTCCCCACCTGGGCCCGGCCATCAGCACCCGTGGCCGCGGCCTGGGCCAGCCTGCGGGTTCCTCAGCACCATCGCCCACGTGGCCGTGCCCCTAGAGCCTCACTCCCCGCGGGACTGAACAGATGACCCGGGGCGTTAGACGCTTTCCCCGCCGTGGGGCACCCCACACGCAGCCCAGAGCCAGGAAGGCAGAGGCAGGCTGAGGGGAGCCCGGCGCGCCCGCGGGTGGGAGCCCTGGCTGCGCGTGCTCTCGGGCCGCTGGCTGTCCCCTCCCTCTCCTCATGGCCCGTCCCCGGTCCCCTCTGTCCGCAGGCGAGGAGTTTGCTCTACCAGTTCCGCCTCCTGCCCCGGGTCCCCTGCAGCCTGCACGACCTGTGTAAGCTGTGCGGGCCCGGCATGTGGGACAGCGGCTACATACCCGCCGTGGAGTGCACGGGCCACCACCCGGGGTCGGAGGGCTGTCCCTACGGGGGCACAGTGGAGCCGCCCTCGCCCAAGGCCCCCGGGGAATGCAAGAAGGGCCCGAAGACGCCCCGGGAAGGCTTTGGCTTCCGCAGATAGGTCGGGCCCCTGGCGCCGGACGAGGATTCAGGGGACCTCACCGCGGGTCCCAAGCATGTGGGAGGGGGTGGGGATGGGCGTGGATGGGACGGGGGATGGTCGAAACGTGAGGAGAACACCTTCGAGCGACGTGAGGGGGACACTTTCATATTATGACGGCGGAAGCAGAGTCCGGAGGCGAGAGAAGGAAGTCCCGACAGCCACCCAGAGAAGAGCCGGCTCCCGAGAAACAGTGGGACCGGAACGCACAGCCCCTCCGCCCGGAGACGTGGCGGCTGGCTCCTCGTGGCGCCCTCCTCCGATGCACCCCAGCGAGGCCCAGGGTGTCCCCCGGCCCTGTTCACACACAGATGTGGGGCGCTGCCCGGCAGGGACAGGAAAAGCGGGTCCGGTTCACCCACCAGCGCCCGCGGATGCAGCAGCACAGGAGAGGGGTCCCCTCCAGGCCCAGATACATCGGGGCGAGCTGGACACCCCTCTCGGCCAGGCCTGGCTCCCTGCACCAGCCAGCTGCTTCCCGCAGCTTGTCCAGCGGCGGCGGCAGCCCCAATGTGACGACACCTGCCCCCACAGGAAAAATGACCGACTGGTTTCAGGATAGGGAGGTGTGGTCTGTGGGGGGGGGGATGAGAAGCTGGGGGCTTCCACGCACACTGTCCGTGCAAACATTGGACACCCTGGTTTGTGAAGCAAGCCACCTGCCCATGAGCTGAGCCAAGAGGCGTTGGTGATGCTGGCTTCCTCCCAAGCTGAGGAGTTTCTACGTGAGGTTCTTCGATGTTAAGGTCAACTTCACCAAATGTGGCAAACTGTGGGGGGGGGGGGCGCGGATGGGCGAGGGTGTGTGTACACGCGCGTGTGCAGAGCCCTCGAGAGAATCAGCTTGTTGGGGGCCAGGGTTAGTGTAGTCGCAGACGGACCAGGACAGAGGCACTTGGAGGTGGCGAGGTGGTGGGATGCAGGAGGGACCGCAGTCCGGGACCCTCCACTCCAGGGGAGGAGGCGGGCCCTCCCAGCTGGCCATCCCTCCTCCATGAGGCTGGGACGTGGGCGGACCAAGGCAGGCCAGGCCACGTGCACGGAACACCGCTTCCTGGACAGCTGGGAGCAAGGGCGCCCGAACCCTCCAGCCCCTCTTCTGGGGAGGAGGCGCCGTGACGTGAGGTCATGGGGCCACAGCTGCACCTGAGAGCTTCCCAGCCAGCATTCCAGCAGGAAGGGGGAAGGTTCCAGCAGGAAGGGGGAGAGCAGCCTCCTCTCCTCTGACTCTGTGACGTGAGCCCACGTGAGCCCCCAGGCAAGGGGACCAGTCCTTCCAAGTTCCTGGTCCCTTCACCCAAGAGCCTTTTGGGGAGACCACCGTGGGTCCCCACCCATGCCCAGATCCTGGGGTGCTGACCATGCTGATCTGGCGGCAGGGGTCCTGACTGGGTGGGGGTGGCCCTCCACTTTGCCGCTGTTCCACACGGCCCCCGATTCATGGTGGAGTTGGATGACACCAACCAGGCACCACCCTTGTAGTGTTTCCCCTGGAAACTACGTCCTCACCACTGGGGCCTCAGCTCCCCTGGGCCACAGCCGCGCTGCTGAGCGGCCCCAGGGCCTGGAGGCCTCGCTCTGCATGCACCTGTCTGCCACCCGCGTCTGCGGCCCGCGGGCTGGGCTGGGCCATTCAGGTCTGGGCTGGGCTAGCTGCCGTGTCGGGGGTCAGCCTGCTGTGGAGCCCCGGAGGGGTGCCCGCCAGAGTCCAGGTCAGACCCGGCTCTGCTCCGTGTCTCCGCACCTGTCCTGCAGGCTACCTTGGGCCGAGGCAGAGGCGCGGGCCTTTCCGAGCCTCGGCAGAAGCCACGCCGGCTGCCATGCCCCTGGCCAAAGCGAGTCACAAGGGGTGGGAACAGACCATCTGTTTCCGTAGTGAGAGGGGCCGTGTGGTGACCCAGCAAGCCTGGGGATTCGGGAAGGGCGGAGGACCCGGGCGGTCGATACAGCCTCGCCGATATCAGGAGGTGGTGACCCAAGTCACGATTTTGGACCGTCCCTTCTTCGTCTGAGGAGGCAGGACTCCCCCTGGAGAGGAAGAGGCTGCCCTCCGACCCCGGGCTGAGGGTCCTGCGTTGCCGTGCAATCAATACCTTGTGCCTTTGGGCTGCTGGTGGTGGGGGGATTGTGCAGGGATCCCCTCGTCTGGAGAGTCCTGGCACAAAGCTTTTATCCCGCATCTCCCGGCCCCTCGCCCCACAGCTCCCCAAGATCCAGTACCGAGTGCCACCTCGACCCTCTATGGGCCCCGGGGGGAAGGGGGGCCACCTCTCAGAGCAGCCGGGAGCTCGGATGCCCTGGCTGCGTGGGCCGGGGAAGGCCCGCCCGCCAGGATGCCGTCGTCTGGATGCAATTAGAGAAAAGCAGCCGAAAGCCCGAGGCAGCTGCCGCCCAGCACCGTTCCCGGCCGCGCACGCATCAGGGTGATAATTCAGTCATTAGCCGCCCGGCCTCGCCAGCGCCCGCACGTGCGGGCGGCGGCGTAATCAGCCCGCGCCGCGGCTCTCCACGATGCTGCTTATTTAACCCATTTTTTAAAATGACACTTAGTGCTGTTGGCTGGCGTGTGTGCAAGCACATGCCTAAGTCCCCCCGCGCTGGTGTCGGTGCCGACGCCGCGGGTGTCCCCAGGCCTCCGGGGCGCCGCTGATGCGTGGCTGCTGGCTGGGAGGGGCCCAGCCTGGGAGGGGAGGAGGAAGCCGGGCCCCTTGGGGTGGAGGACGCACACACAGGTGGTGGGGTTGGGGTCCTGTGGGCGCTCGGGGATCTGGGCTGGGGAGGGGACCGTGCATACTCACCCGAGGTTTCGGGCCCAAGTCCAGCCGGGGAGAACCGGAACCGGCAGCCCTGGGAGTCGTCCCGAGCCCGTTGGGGAGGGCGGACTGGGCAGGGAGGGGCCGGCCCACGCCTGCAGGGGGAGGGGCAGCCCCGTGCTGGCCCGCGTGGCCACGTGCCTCAGGGTGGCGGTGTCTGAACCCAAGACCCCGACCACGTGTCCTCGGAGTTTTCCGTAGGAGCCCCGCCCGAGGCCCCTCGGGGACGGGCGGCTGGACGGGACGAACGTGCAGGGCCTGGAACATGGGCTTCCCCGGGCTGCAGGGCCGTGGCTGGCAGCGGTGGCCCCACGCCAGCCTTCGACGGGCGGACGCAGGAAGTGGGGCCACGGCTGGAGCGTGGCGGGGCAGGAGGGGGGCACCCTCGGTGTTTGGAGGTTCCCCCAGGCTCTCTCCTCAGCCCCGGTTTGGGAGGAGTAACTTGAGGGGCGGCCCCCTGGGTGACGGGAACCTGCCCCCCAGCGGTGCTCATGGGGAACCTCTCCCTCCACCCCACCTCCCCTCCCCCTGCAGGGAGGCTGGAGAGGACCCCGGGGCACCTGGTTTCGGGGTGCAGCCTGGGCCAGAGGCTCGCCCAGAGTGGCCTTTGGGCTGTGCCAGGGCCACAGCGAAGGAGCCCACTGGTCCAGCCTGAGGCTGGCCACGTCCCCCGGACACCCTGGGGACCAGTCAGCGCGGGGGCAGTTAGCCCCGTGCGTCTTGTCCAGGCAGCACAGAGTCCCTACCAGCGAGAGCATCTGTCCCTGCTCGGAGGGACACACCGGAACTAGCAGCTCCCCCTCCCCCACAAAGTTGCGGAGCTGCAGGGCACCCCCCCGCCCCCCGTAGGGGCCACGCAGCACTGTGTTTCAGGACGACACTTCCCCGGGGGTCAGGAACCCGGTTCCGGCCCTGCCCCCACCCCTCCCTGTGCCTGACCCGCCACCACCCGAGCCTCAGTTCCTTTGCCCGTGGAGGGGGCGGGGACTCCCCCCTCAGGAGACGGCCACGGGGACTCCGGGTGAAAGCTGCAGGAGGCTTACCTGGCCCCTGGGACCTCACCTGCCACTCAGGGAAGAGACCACTGACCTTGGCCTTCAGCGACCTTGACCAAGAAAGGTGTCCTGCTCAGGGCTCAAGAGCTCCCTTCTGCGAGGTGCCTCTCTGCACCCCTGTCCTGTGCCACGTTCACCCTTTGCCACCCCACTCCCGGCCACGAAGAAAAATCGACCACGAGCCCTGACCTCGGCGCCACGCCAGGTGCGTGTCGGTGTGAACACGGCCCCCAGGGCTCCGGAGCAGGGATTCAGCGTGTGTGATCCGGGCTCGTCCGCGGTGTGAGGACCACCTGGGCCGGGCTCTGGTTCCCTGGGCCTCCAGGGGAGGGGGGGGCAGGGGAGGGCGGGGCCCGCAGACCGCAGGCAGGCGGCCGGCCTCCGGGGCTTTTCCTGAGAAGGTTCAGGCTCGAAGCAAGATCAAGTCGTGTGGCCGTCTCCTCTCCTGCGTCTCGCTCAAAGAGGACAAGCCCGTGCTGTCTGAGGGGCAGTTTCGTGACAGTTCCACCACCACCAAGACGTTGCCCGTGTCTGTGGTGAGCGATTCCTTCTGTGTGTTTCATTTGTAAGCACGACCACCTGCCGGTTGGGCCCTGCCCCAGGCCCCGGCCAGACACCGTGACCCCCGCTGGCCGCGGCCCGGCCATGCTTCCGGCCCTCACGGGTCCCACCGCAAAGAGAATAAAAAATGTTAAAAGCAGACATGTGTTCTGGGGCCTCCGGGAGACCACCTGGCGGGTCCGTCGGGTCAGGACCCAGCAGGCTCTGGTGCCGGGCAAAGAGGACCCCCTGGGAGAGCCAGGGCTGTAGTTCCTGGGTGGGTGGGTGGGTGGGGGAGCGAATGGAACTGGTGGGGGGCAGGGGTCCTCGGGGACTGGGGAGCCGGCAGGGCTGGCCCCTGGCAGGTAGAAGCCTGGCCTGTGGAGCCCCCGGGCACTTGGCTTGGAGGGCCGGGGTGGGGGTGAGGCCCAGTGCCCCCGCCATGGAGGCGTGGACGGAGAATTCACAGGACACAGGGAAGAGCCTTGGACCCCAGCCGCAGGCCCGAGACTGGGACACGCGGTGTTTCAGGGAGACTCCGCCCTCAGGAAGAACAGGGTCGAGAGCTCTTTGAAGGAGGCGGACGAGAGGCACTGGCCTTGTGGGGGGGGGGCGGGGGGGAGTCAGAGGAAGAAGTCCAGTATCGGCTCCTCGGGAGCCCCCACAGCATGTTGCAGGGACGCGGACACCCCAGTATTGCAGCCAGGGCAGCGCTGGGTCCCAGTTCTGCTGGGGCACCGGGTGGCGGGCTCCCAGGGCCTCGGCACCCTCTGCCTGCACGGGGAGGGGGGACCGTGCAGCCTCCCACTGTCCACACCCCTGGGGACCTCATGTTCACAGGGTCCGGGGCGCCCCCCCCCCCCCCGCCTGGCCTTGGCCGTGCTGTTCGAGCGTGTCATCACCCACTGTGCACGGCAGGGTGGAGGCCGGGTGCGGAGGGGCGGGGGGCAGGAGGGGCCGTGGCCCAGGTGACACATCAGTCGCCCGGCCTGCCGGGTGGCCCCACTGAGAGAAGCCTCGGTTGGTCCTTTTGGGACGGGGCGGCTGCTTCCCCGGCTGCCCAGACGCCGGGCCCTGGCCCTGACCTGGGATCTGAAGCCCCGGCGATGGCGGGACACACAGGGGGACGCGGCCTGGTGCACGGGGACGACAGACGCTCCACAGCACGGCCGCCGCGGGCCCTGGGAGCGGGGTGACCGGGGCCCCCAGAGGCAGCCCTGCGGGAGGACGAGGCCCATCCCCACCCCCAACGCCCGAAAGGGCCGGTCTGGGAGGCAGCCGGCTCCCGGGTGTGGCCTGGCCAGGATGTTTGTCTTCGCTCCGGGTCTCCGTAAACAACCGCCGTGCACTCGGCCGTCCGCACAGCCAGACTCCAGGGCGGGGCCCGGAAGGGCCTGCCCTCTGCGGGCCTGGGGCCTGGGAACGGCTGGTCCGCGGCTGTGTCCACGGCCGTCCACACCGCTCACCCACCGTCCGGGCTCCACCGGGGACGTGCTGGAGGCCTTGTCCGCCTGGCGGAGTGAGTGTCCTGAGCACCGCCGACCCCACGTCACTCGTGCACGCAGGTGCTCGACGAGCTGGCCGAGAGCCTCAGCAGCGCGGCCCGGTACCGTCCTGCCGGGGGCCCCTCCTGGGGACGCCGAGGCCGGAGCACTCGGGTCCCTGGGGCTCCTGGACAGGCCTGCGTGCACCCCGCACCTCCTCCAGCGAGCACAGCCGCCCTCGGGCCCCCGGGAGAGGCCACTTGGACGTCCCCCCCCCCGGGGCCCCCAGGGCAAAAGGGCCGTTGGCACCGGCCCTTCCCTGCAGGTGTGACCCTTCCCTCCGGAGACGAGCCAGTCCCGGACACCGCCGCCTTCTCTTCCCGCCCGGTGGAGCCCGTTAGGGGCTGACCCAGCGCCGTCTCCATCCATACCCGTGTCTCTCCTCCTCCACCCACCCACCCAAGGGCCTGTGGTGAGCAGGGCGGGGAGGGTCCCCGGAAAACATGCCGGGGCTCTGCTCTAGGCGCACTGTCACCCCCAAGGCTCCCTGTCCAGACCCAAGGGCACCGGCCCAGGCATGCCAGCAGGTGGCCCCCATCCTGTGCCCAGGAGGAGGCCTGCTTACTGGCGCACACACACATACACACACACACGTCCGCCTCCAGCCCTCCCACTCCCCTCCTGGTGGGTGGGGCTCAGAACGGACCCCACTGCAGGCTGGCTGCAGGCCCCGCCCCCCTTTCTGCACTGGGCTGGACGAGGCCTGGGAGAGGCCTGGAGGAACTCTGCGGGGTACAGAGCACAGCCCTCTCCCTGAGTGACCGTGCCCCGGGGGGCAACTCGCTGCTGAGGGGGCCTGCAGACCAGCGGGCACCTGCCCGGGGCCTCGTGGACCACCTTGGGTCTGAGCATTGGGACTCTTTGGAAGTCTTCCCAAGCCGCTCCCTCCCCCACCCGCTCTGCAGGTCTCCAGAGCCACCGGGTCCCCAGGCTCCCTCCTGGGGCGGGTGCTGCGTGATTTAGATGGAGGCTGGGCCCACGGGCCGCTCCGTCTCCGCGACAGGCCAGGTGCCGCGCTCTGCCAGCGGCCATCCAGACGGAAGGGGCTGCTGTGTATTCTGCGTCACCAGAGAGAATAGCCGGACCCTCTAAACCCATGGGTGGGCGTTGACATCAGGCTTCAACCCAGGCCGAGAGCCCAGGGCTGGGCGGAGCGGCAGAGGCAGGTTCGAGACCCACCCCCCAGCCAACGAGAGTCACACAGTCGCACGGAACAGGAAGGCTGCCCCGAGGACCAGGTGCAAAGCTCCCCATCAGGCTCGCCGATTCCCGGCCGTGAGTGAGCACGCCAGACAAAGACACCGAGGGTCCCCGTGGCTACAAGTCAGTGACGAGTGCGCCCCATGGCCAGGCAGTCGGTAAATCTAACACCAGAATGTCGGTCCTGGGGTGGGCGTTCAGAGCGTTGGCTCGGACTCACTGGGGGACGGTGGCCAGTGTCTGCTGGACACCAGCTCGGGGGGACGGGCAGAGGGTTCTGAGAGGGACACCCACAGTGACCGAGAGGCCGAAGGAGAGCCAGTGCCGCCCAGGGTTCGGGAACTGGCGAAGAGAGCGCCCACTGGCTGTCCCCCTGGCGCCGTCGAGGGGCTGGGTGTCAGGGGGCTCCGCGGCCGCGGCCTGCGTCCGAGTCTTGTCCAGCCTGCCCGCTGGGACTCCAGGCTCTGGGTGCGGACCCCCCCCCCACTTTTGCAGGAGAAGCCTATCCCCTGGGGCCCCCCGCTCTGTCCAAGGAAACGGGATGGGGGTCCCTGCTTCCCGAGTCCGGTGCGGGGGGCGGGGCTGGGGGGTCTCTGTGTGTTTCTGCAGCGGGAAACCCAGCGGCCGGGAAAACAACCAGCGGAGACAAAACCACCCAGGAGCTCCCATGGTGCGTGGGTGGGGGGGTCCCGGGTGTCTCCCCCTCGTTCTGCCCTCTGAGTCCACTTCGGAAAAAAAGCACCTGTGACTCGGAGGCCTCCGGGCAGACGCCGTGGGGGTGGGGGTCCGTTCCTCTTCCAGGAACCTGTGTCTGTCTGTCTCCAAAGCCCTGGCATCCCCTCGGTTTTCTGATAAATTCCCAGGTTCTGTCAAATGATTAATTTAGATGGGAGTTTCCCCAGCCTTGGTCTCGCCGCTCCGCCGGGCGCGTGACCGCCCAAGCCAGGCAGACGGTGAAAGTGAACTTTCGGGGCCCGGGGTCAGCCAGCCCGGACCGGACGTGTGGGGGGCAGGGAGGGGTCGCGCACACGGGGCGCAGGGGAGGGGCCCAGTTGGCTCCTTGGGGCGTGGGGGGGTCAGACAATGAACCTCAGGGTGTTTCTTTCGGTGCCGATGGGTGGGGCGGGGCAGCAGGGCTGGGATTCGGCCCCCCACTCCGGCCTGCAGTCCCCCCGCCCTTCTGCACACCACCCCCCGGCCCCGCACGGTGGCCAAGGATGCAGCAGATCCGAGAGTCTCACGGACAGGACCATCCGGGGCCCGAGAACTATGGGCCGCTCGCCCGTGCCCCTCCCCCACTCAGGCTAGGGTGCGGCCTCCAGGGTGGGCCCCCGTGGGCGTGGCTGCCCTGGCCTGGCTGGGCCTGCTGGGTCCCTGCACAAACCACCCCCCTCGTCACGGGCTGGAACCGACGTAGAGACCGGCAGGCTGGCTGCTGGGCCCCCAGAGTCTGGTTAGTGACGGCTCCAGTCAGAGGAGACACCCCTCCCAAGTTGTCCCAGGGACGGTCCTAGGCTCCTGTGGCCTCCGACCCAGCCCTGAGGGGCGGGGGGGCGCTGAGGTGGCCAAACCTCAGCCAGCACTAGGGCCCCACAGGGTTTGCTCTCCGCTGCCCCCGCCCCCCCCGCCAGCAAGTCCAAAGCCTGGGTTGGGGCCTGCTGCAGACCCTGGGGACAGGCAGCGTGGCTGAGGCTGGGGGCGGGCTGCGCGGCGTCCCCACCCCCGTCCCCAGCCATACTGACAAGTCCGACCCGCAGGCCTGGCTGTGGGAGTCAGCCGCACGGCTGGGTCGCACAGCCCGGGCCACTCACCTGGAACCGTCCTCCTGGGAGGGAGGGGGGGGAGGGCAGGACGTGCTGTCAGCCCGCCCCCCACCCTGGCTCACGGCCCCCCACCCCAGCCCGCCACTGCTGCCCCCGGCCGGCCTGCGCTCGGGCTGCCCAGGGCCCTGTTCCTTCTGCCTTCACCCTGGGGGCGCTTCTCGAGTCCCGGCGCCGCCCATGCCTGGCACTCCCCTTACAGGCACTCTGCGTGGGTTCCCGCCCCCGCGGGGGGCAGAGAAGAGCCCCCTCGGAGGGACAGGCGGGACCAGAGAGGGGCTGGGGGCCTTCCGGAGGGAGGGGGCGGAGGGTCGCAGGGGGCCGAGAGAAGCGGAGGGGTCTGGGGGGGGAGGGGGAAGGGTGGGGGAGGGGAGGAGGGGCAGCCCCTCCGCAGGCCCGCGAGCCAATCCTATCAGGTGCACTCCCGATAAATATTAATCACCCAGCGACAGAGGGAATTTGGGAGGATCTAATTAAAAGGACACCACGCAAGCTGGCAGCTTTGCCGGCAATCCCTCCAGGGAGCCCCGAGGGCGGGGGGCGGGGAGCTCCCCCAGCCCCTGAGAGGCCCCGAAGGAAGACGGAGACGGAGCTGC